CTTAAAAAAAAAATTGTATGCTTTTTTGCATTGATTAAGATCTTTAGCCTCTTCAACTCAGCAAGATAGCCAGGCTCTTTGGATTCACTCTTTTTGTGCAGTTGTCCAGAAGTGTCTTCAAGCAGGAAACTGAAGTGATCCGTGTACACACTTTATTTTTCCTTTCTTTTTTGTCACAGTCCTGTGACCCAGTCTCTGGAAATTATTTTCGTTAAGTTTTTCTATTTGTTTATATCAGGAAGGCATATCTATTGTGTGTTATTTTAACATGACTGAAAGTACTTGTTTTTTTTAATTATAAATTCCTTTTTTTTATTTTTAAAGGTTTTATTTTGAATTGAGTGATAGTTTATATGGGAGAACATTGGTTTTACACTCATCGTGTCGTATTTCATTTCATTGCAATTATTATAATCATCATTTCACAGTATTTACTTCTATTCCCTCTCTTTGTTTTTTTGATGTATAAAAAACACTCAGAATATATAATCATTAAACAACCAAAGGGCACATTCTGCAAGCCTGCCTCCTAGCTGCCAGCACACAGTCTTCTCTTTCCACAGTTTAGAGTCCTCCGCTGCTCTCTCTCTCTATGGCATCATCTCTGCCTCCATCTCTGGTGTCACTACTTCTCCTTTGATGCTCATGCTCTTCTTCCTTGATGGTCCTAGGCTCTTCTGTTCCTGGACTGTAAGATTAACTACTCCCCCATTTATGTTACAAAACTTCTACCTTTACAGTTGTGACATTCACAGTTAGTCATGATAACACTTACTATTGAATTGAAAGAATCCTGTTCCCATTTTCTTTTACAAGGCCCATCTAGACAAGATGAAAACTATTCAGTGGGCATTCTGTCTTCCCCTACACACTGAAAATAAACTCCCTGTTGAAAACTTTTAAGCCAGCCACTTCGTGCCTCTATAGCCCCCCAGTTTTGATAGCTAATTTCTTAGTTGCCCGTCCCTGTCAACCCAGAGTACTGAATTGCCAAGCTTGATCCTTGATATGAAGAAACCTTACCTTTTGGTTGGAATTTTGGGCAAGTTCATCCATAAGCAGAGGTCCAGTTAATCCAGTTGTTAGCAATTTATGCTTGCTCCCTCTATCAGATGTCTTTATCTGATTGAGTTCTGGTCAGCAAGCTGTCCAAACTAGGTCAGATGGGTACTGTCTGCTAGTTTGGGAGTTCTGTCATGCCTCGCCCACTTCAGACCATCTGGCTGCCTGGCTGCTTCACTCTTTTTTTTTTTTTTTTAATGGGCTGATCTTTTTACTTAACACATACATAATACACATACATACTTTTTAAGTGAAAAAAATCTTAAGAATATAGTTCTTTTTTTGTTGTTGTTAGAATTTGACCACTAACACTGACAGTACAAATTTAAATTCACCTGAAATATTACTACTCTAGTTCAGTAATTGGCTGTGAACAGAAACTATGTTCTGGCTATTATATAAAATGATGTTGTAATAAAAATAATATTTAAGACAATATTTAAGGGAGAACATGTCCCACATAAAAGCATTTTAGGGAAGATAAAGGGAGAATGTATATTATAATACTAGAGTCATAATTTTATATAGGCCTCTCCTTACCTCTAACCCAAACAATGATAACATGCTAACTTCAGTGAATTTTCTGTAGTAACTTTTCCCCTTTGTTAAGCAGTAGGAGTGAATGAAATGGAATAGTTTTGCAGATTCTGTTTTCCAAGATTATTTCAAATTGGTTCCCTCTTTTCTAATTTTTCTTCCCTATTTCAAATCTCATAGTTCTCATTGATCTATTGATACTTTTTCAATGAAAACATTTAATAATAATAAATTATTAACAGCTAAAAAGATGTTTTTTGAAAAAACCCAAATACAAAATAGTATTTTTCTCCTGCTACCCAATCTCAAAGCCATTTTCCAGTTCTAAAAATTAAAAGGTTAGAAATCAAAACAGCAATTATGTGGTAAATATTATAAAACTTATGAAAGCTTAAGTCTGTCCCAAAGCAACTCCTACTTTATGCTTAGTGAATATAAATCTCATATGTAGAATATGCCTGAAAAATATAAAGAATAGTATACTTACATATTTTTGTGTTTCATTTCAAAAGAGTTTTCACTATAATTTAGAACATTAGTCCTTCCCCAAAGTATACTCTCTGCATACCAACTCAATTTGTTTAATTAAAATTTAAGAAGAAAATTGATAAAAAGTAAATCCAAAAATAAAATTTTGTTAGGTTTAGTATAATAAATTTTTAATCAAGAGATTTAAAATGTTAGAATAACATTCTTTCCCTTTGCCCAATTTGGCACTATTAAATTGGACAAGTCCCAAACTGATCTGGAAGTAAATGAAATTTCTTTTTGTGGTAGCCCCTATTCCTTTAACATATCAGAGGAATTTGCATAGCAGGCTAGAGAACAGACATAAGAGATAATAGGTGTGCTTTAGTACACCCATATTATCCACTAGGACCACAGTGTGAGCAACAGAATGTAGAGTCATGGTAGTAGTTCCTTGAATGTAAGAGTTTAGACAGAATCGTCCAGAAACACAGGTTTTTGCAGTATCCAAATCTTGGCAAAGGTGGAAAGGAATGATATGAGGGCCTTATGAATCCTATTATCTAACACGATTCATTCAGAAGATTCCAATAAAGTTAATGGTGCTTGCAGCATTATGATCGATAGGACTTTTGATTGTTCAAATGTATTTCTAAAAACATCCAAGTAATAACTTTTAAAATTCACTAGGCAAAAATGAAAGCTTATTTTGAGATGCTGACAAAAAATGTAGGTTTTTCAGTTGTCCTATCTTAAAATGAAATCGAATCAGTTCATTATCATCAAATTTTAAATCTGTAAGTTCTTGGAGTTGGCAAAATTGTATAGGGAGTGCTTCACTTTTGTTCTTGCAGAGATCCAAACTCTGAAGGGATTGCTGGAGTGTAGACTGACACAAGGCTACACTGAAGGACTCTTCAGTGGTTGTCATTATGGGCAAGTTCTTGAAGGTAGATGAGATCTCCAATTGTAGCTGGAAGCTTTTTTATATGGTTGTGGCTCAGGTCTAATTTCCTAAGGTTTTTTAAGCCAAGAACATGCGTATCAATTTGGACAAGCCCACAATAACAAGTCTGAAGATGTTCCAGAGAATATGGGAAGTTCTTGCCTAAAGGGTAATCCTTTTTGGAGGTGATAACCATTTTAGGTTTAAAATTTTCGAAGTCTGAAGTCTTCACTGGTGTGAGGGTTAAAAATGGTGTTTCAATATCACAACCTCGGTGAGCTAGTCTCATAGCTGACAGAAAACCCTTTAAACTGCTGAAATTGGCTTAGACATATATCCACAGCCAGCTCCTTTAACCGAACAGTGGCTTTTCCCTTATCTACAAATTTGGTGAAGACTTGCTTAGTGTTCTCCTTTATCTCATAGCGGGTCACACGCTTGTCCTTCATGGTGGAGATGATCAGGCAGGCAGAGTGCAGGCCAATCGGCTCGCTCCCAAAGTGGGGCCATGGTTCCTGGGCATCTGTTAACAGAGGCTCAGCACTGCCTGAACGCCCTTTACCAGATTCCTCATCCCCAAGGCTGGCAAATACCCGTTCATCACCTCCACCTTGCAGTTCAGCTTCTTCCTGCTGCTCGCAATCTGGCTGCTTCACTCTTTACTCTAACCCCCGGTGGCTAGGTGAGTGTCCTTGGACTCAGGAGTTCACACATCTCACTGAACTGAAAACCAACCAGCCCTTCCTCTTCTTTCATCTGAAGGTCATCGGATATCTATGGGACATGGCCAGACTCAGCCCAGGTCTTCATTGCTGCATTTCCCCCACTTCCACTCATCAGTTGACCAGGACAGTCATCAACAAGCCTACAAGATTGTTCATTTGTTCATGCATTCCCTTTGAGTTTCAGTCTTAGAAAGGGGTTTAACCTGGTGGGCTGACTTGTCTTGTCTTGATGGCTCCAAGGCAAACAGCTTGCTTGATATTGTCACAGCCAAACAGTCTGCTCTATCAGCCCTCCCTCCACCCCTCTACCCCACCCCCACCCCCACCTTTCTTTAAAGAAGTGTCTTCTGTTCCTGTGTCCTATCCAGGTTGGTCTGCATGTCTTTTCAGTTGTGAATGTCCCGCCTTAGTAGAATTCTACCTATGGCCCCATACTCTACAAAGGCTTTAAGAAGAAGCCTATTTTCCTGGATATATGTTTTAGTACCCTTTTAGATAATCCAATCAGGTATAGGGGCTGAAGATGGGCTTACAAGCTTTGTGTTACCCTTATTTCCCAGTATTCCTTTGTATCTCACTCAAATGTCTATACTACACTAGTAGGCAGGAGAAACCAATGTCCACAAAACAGTCAAGTACCTTAACATATTTCCCTCCTTTACCCATTCAGACGATGTCTCTGTCTAAGTACGGGACTTTAGGCAAAATTTTAACTTTTGGCATTGATTGCTAATTGCTAAGTGGTTGTGGTGGGGCACGGATATCTTCATATGGAAAATTATGAGAACATAAAGGAGGAATCTAAACTACTATCTGATTATGTTTTCCCTGCCTATTAAAAAGCACACATCAACCTTGCCTTAAATGGATTTTATCCTTTTCACAAATAGATCTTCATGCTTCAGTGTCACATATTTCTTAGGGATAAATCATATTGTGAAAGAGAAATTTAACTTACTTGTTTATTTTATTAACAGAATGTTTTCAGGAAAGTGAACATCTCAAGGAAAGTCTTAAATGCTGCTTATTACATCTTTTTGGAGCCATTGTAGCCGGTGGGCAGGTAAGGAAAGCATTGGAAGTTTAGATATACAATAATGATTAGTAGTGAGAAGAACTTATAAATTGAGATTTTCTATGGATTATGTAATTTACTTTTGGTCTTTTAATAATTTTATGAACCATACAAATATTTCTCTGATTTTATATCTTGTTTAAAACAAATTTAGTTACTTTTTTTATTAACTTCAATTAATAATATTAATGCAAATAATAAAATTACAGGATAAGTAGCCATTTTAAACATTTTTGTTGCTTTTTGTGAGCATCCTATTTTGATTTTTTTAAGTAATGTACTGTGAATTTTTTTTTTGAGTGGTAAGTTTGAATTATTTTTCAAATGATAAATTCTTTGTTATGTTAGCTTACAACTACTAGTTCTTACTTTAACGTATACAGGAAGTTAGTTCTATTGGTCCATTTAATGAAATTAAACTATAGCAGTTTGGTTTACAAAAAGGTATCAATTAAGTCCCACTTATTGTCTGTCTGTCAGTTTGTCATACTGTGGTGGATTGTGTGTTGCTGTGGTAGTGTAGTGGAAACCATGCCACCGGGGTTTAAAATACCAACAGGTACACCCATGGTGGACTGGTTTCAGCAGAGCTCTCAGACTAAGAGTAGGAAGAAGGAGAGGTGGGTTACTTCAGAATGGTTAGTCCCTGAACACTTTATGAATAGCAGCAGAGACAATGCTGATACATTGTCAGATACACTGTCAGATAGAGTTCTGGAAAAGGAACCGTTCAGGTTAGAACGCACTCAAAATATGACTAGGGAAGAACTTTGTCCTCAAAGCAGAGTTAATCTTAATGGCATGAATGGAGCAAAGCTTCCAGGCTCTTTATTTACTAATGTGTTGTTGTTAAGTGCTGTCAGTTCATTCTGATTCATAGTGACCCTGTAGAAAGTTTCCAAGGACAAGCTGGTGTGTTTGAACCACTGAACTTCCAATTAGCAGTACAGTGGATGTGGCACTACTACTCTAAATGTGAAGAAACATTAGCAGACATTCATTAGTATTCAGAATGTGGGATGTACGAAGTATGAATGTAGGGAAATTGGAAGTTGTCAAAATTAAAATGGAAAGCAGAAAGATCAGTATCCTAAGCATTAATGAGCTGATGTGGACTGGTATTGACCATTTTGGATTAGACTGTCGTGTGGGTTACTATGCCAGGAACAATAAAGAGGAATAGGGTCACATTCATTCTCATAAAATCATTTCAAGATCTAAAAGTACAATGCTGTTTGTGATAGGATAATTATCATACACCTACAGGAAGACCAGTTAATACTATTATTATTCAAATTTAAGCACCAATCACTAAAGCCAGTGATAGTAAAATTGAAGAATTCTACCAACTTCTTCAGTCTGAAATTGATCAAACATGCAATCAAGATTCATTGATAATTACTAGTGACTGGAATGCAAAAGTTGAACACAAAGAAAAACAATCAATAGTTAGAAATACAGTCTTGGTGATAGAAACTATGCTGAAGATTGAAAGATACAATTTTGCAAAACCAGCTACTTATTCAATGCATATACCTTTTTTAAACAACCTAGTCAGATGGGCTATACAGTAATCAAATCAACTGCCTTGGGAAGAGGCAATCAAGAAGCTCAATATCATCAGCCAAACAAGACCAGAGACCAACTGTGGAAAAGACTATTAGTTACTGATATGCAAGTTCAAGCTGAAGCTGAAGAAAATTAACACCAGTCCATGATAACCAAAATAAGACCTTGAATGTATCCCACCTGAATTTAGTGACCAATTCAAGAACAGATTTGATGCATTAGACACGAATGAATGACTGAAAACCAGAAGAGTTGTGGGTAGTGTAGTGGAAACCATGCCACCGGGGTTTAAAATACTAACAGGTTCACCCATGGAGGACTGGTTTCAGCAGAGCTCTCAGACTAAGAGTAGGAAGAAGGAGAGGTGGGCTAGGAAGGAAACATCATAGGAAGAAAACAAATGATCATTAAAAAGACTGAAAAGAAAAAAAAAAAAGGCCAAAATGAATGTCAGAAGAGACTCTGAAACTTGTTCTGTAGTGTACAGAAGGAGAGCAACTGGAAAAATGAGGAAGTTAAAGAGCTAAAAAGAAAATTTTCAAAGGCCAGTTCAAGAAGACAGAACCAAGTATTGTAATGAAATGTGCAAAGACTTAGAATTAGAAAACCAGAAGGAAAGAACTTGTTTAGCATTTCTCAAGCTGAAGGAACTGAAGAAAAAATTGAAGCCTTGGGTTACAGTATTGAAAAAATATATGGGCAAAATATTGAATGATGCAGGAAGCATGGAAAGAAAATGGAAGGAATACACAGTCATTGTACCAAAAACGGTTGGTTGATGCTTAGCCATTTCAAGAAGTACCAAAGGAAGAAGTCCAAGCTGCATAGAAGACATTGGTGAAAAACAGGCTCTAGGAATTGGCAAAATACAGATTGAAATGTTTCAGCAAACTGATGCAGCACGGGAAGCTCTCACTCATCTATGCCAGGAAATTTGGAGCATTGCTACTTGGCCAACGGATTGGAAGAGACCCATGTTTGTGCTCATTTCAAAGAAAGGTACCCATCAGATTGCAAAAATTATTGAGTAATATTATTACAACATGCAAGTAAAATTTTGATAAAGATAATTCAAAATGTTTGCAGTAGTATATCAGCAGGGAGCTGCCAGAAATTCAAGCCCGATCAGAAGAGGACGTGGAATGAATGAATGCCATTGCTGACATCAGATGAATTTTGACTGAAAGCAGAGAATACTAGAAAGATATTTACTTGTGCTTTCTTGATAGTGTAAAAGCACTTAACTGTGTGAAGAATGGGTATTCCAGAATACTTAATTGTGCTCATGAGGCACCTGTACATACACCAATTGGTAGTTGTCAGAACAGAACAAGGGGATACTGAACGGTTTAAAATCAGGAAAGGTATGTTCCAGGGTTGTATTCTTTTACCCTACTTATTCAGTTTGTATACTGAAAAAATAATCTGAGGAGCTGGATTATATGAAGAAGAGTGTGACATCAGGATTTTAGGAAGGCTCATTAATAATCTGATAGGTAGATAATATAGACTTACTGATGAAATTCAAAGACTGTAGTGCCTTTAGTATGGATTGCACCTCCATGTAAAGAAAATAAAAATCCTCACAATTGGGCCAGTGAATAACATCTTGGTAGACTGAAGTTGTCGAAGACTTCATTTTGCTTTGATTCATAATCAACGCTCACGATCAAGGACGTAGCAGTTAAGAAATCACAGGACTTTTTGCTTTAAGCAGATGTGCTGCAAAGGATCTCTTTGAAGTGTTAAAGAGCAAGGATATCAGTTTGAGAACTAAGGTGTGCCTGATCCAAGCCATGGTATTTTCAGTTGTATCCTATGAATGTGAAAGATGGACATGAATAAGGAAGACAGTATTAGAACCGATGCATTTGAATTATGATGTTGGAGAAGAATATTGAAAGTACCATGGAATGCCAGAAGAACAAACAAATCTGTATTGGAAGAAGTATGGTGAGAAAGTGATCTTGGAGCCAGGATGTTGAGACTTCGTCTCTGGTACTTTGCACTTGTTCTCAGGGAGGAGAGTCAAAGGGAAAGACAGTGGAGGGTAAAAGAAAACCCCCAATGGTTCAAACATGACTGTGAGGATGACGCTAGACAATGGCAATTTTCCATCTGTTATGCATAGAGTTGCTATTAGTCAGAACCAACTCAACGAGGCACTTAGCAACAACATCAACATTAATTTAGTCACTCTTCCGTCCAGTTTAATTACTAAATTGTATGCCTCCCCCCACCAACAAACCCAATTAGTGTTTTTATTTATAAAAAGGAAAATCCTGTGATGTGATTTGTTTTTTTTTAATTGAGCAACTCATAAGCTTTCTGTAGTAAACTTTGAGTGTAACTACTCACTGACAATGGGGTAATAGCTCAAAGAAAATCATCTACATATATTCTTAAACTGCACAGCTTGGATCAAAGGTTCTTAGCACTTTTTATACCAAAAACTCCTTTGACAGCCTGCAACAATAATTTCTTTTAGAAGGATCATTCTGGGGCTGGTGCCTTTGAAGTGGAGGTTAAAGACATCCCAAATGTGCTTTCCTCAAGTGCTATACCACTCCATAATCCCTAATGCCAACCACTACTCCTTGCCTCAGTATCTCCCTTCTACCCCAGGGTTCTGAAATTCAATGCAACATCTCAGATCTCACAGCCATCAAGGAAGTGACTCACTGTTGTGGAAAGTGGCAAGTTCCATATCTGTAGTTCAGATGTTATTCTGGACGATTGTCTCACTCACACAGAATTGGGCTGTCGACTCACAAGGCTTTGTTGTTAGTGCTGTCGAGTCGGTACTGACTCATAACGACCTTATATAGGGTTTCCAAGGAGCAGCTGATGAGTTTGGAGCACTGATCTTGTGGTTCAAACCAACCTTTTGGTCAAGTGCTTAATCCTGCAGCACCACACCAGGAATCCTCACAAGGCGGTGGATGCTGGCAAATCCAAGAACTGGAGGTCAGATGGAGGGAAGCTTGGTTAGGCCAGCAAAGGATTGCACAGCTCACTAGCATCACTAGGATGGCTCAATTATACCTAGCAGGATGGTAAAATTGACCAAGGTCCTCTTTAGAGTTCAAAGTCTTTATAATCACAGTGAACCCTATTAATAGTCACTCATTTCTGAACCTTATATTCCTACCAGAATCTTACCCCCCTTCTCTTACCTGGACCCATCAGGAAAAAGTCATTTGGGGGGAGTTACAAAGACTTGATTAGAAGAGACATATTAAATAATTCACTGCACAGTCTCATGCATTTGAACCCTTCTCAAAATGTTTTTAAAAGCATAAAGTGAAATGCATAAAATCATAAAGGAAACCAATTATGTTGAAATACAATTATCAGAATATTAATAAAACAAATTTGTGACATAGTAATATGTATTTTTTTTATAACATACTAAATACATAAAATATTCTAGCACCAAATCTAATTAATAACTCATGTAATTTCAAATTAGAGATGAGTGTAGCATAAATGGTGTAAGGGACTCCTAATACTATTGTGGATTCCTTATGTGGTTCTGTAGGATCTGTATTGGACTATGAATCACAAGGTTGGCAGTTCAAACCCACCAGCTGCTCCTTAGAAACCCTGCAGAGGACCGATAAGAGTCGGAACTGACTTAACCACAATAACACTACTGTGGCTTGTTGCTTACATTTAAAAAGGAAGAAAATGCTAATTTTCAGTTAAAAGTTAGTATAAATATATAATTCTTTTCCATTATAATTTTCTTGACTTCTTTAGACCTCAGGTTAAGAACTCTAGATGTAGACAATTTAATTTTAATTTTTAATTTGTTGGCCTTTCTTTTGTTCTCAGAATGAAAATTACCTCTTTTTTTTTCCTAAATGTTTATTAGCGTCTGTTATTTTAAAATACCATGTTCTTTATCTTGTTATTCCAAATTACATGTTTAAATAAAAATTTTATTCAAAAGCTTATCAACCAACTTTTAAATTAATTTTAATTTAGTCATATAAAATTATACCAGTAATGTTCTAGGTATACACCTTTTTATGTTGGTTCCTTGTAAGAAATCCTGTTGACCTTCAGGAAGCCATCAGGGAGGTTAATACTTCCTTTGTTTGTGTTCAAGAGCCTCTCATGAGGTTCTTTTAATCGTATAGCTTGTCAGGAACTTTTATAGCAGTAGGGAATTGCTACTTACTTTTATCTACCACATTTTGTTTAGTTTGGAGATTTGAGGGAGTAGTGTAACCTTAATTTTTCAAATGAACTTCTTAAACAGATGACTTTATATATGTAGTTAATATCTTTTATATTCAAAATACCCAATTTAAATCTACAGGGGACTTCATAAAGTTTATGGAAAAATGACATACATAAAGTGATGAAATTTTTTGAAGAACTCTTTGAAAGTCCTTCGTATTTTCTTGAGCATTAATCATGTGAATGCCATTATGAGTTTGAGTTTCCTGTCAGCTGGTACTGCTAAAGCTTCCTTCTGTCTTTTTTTTTCCTGTTACATTTTTCTCAGGGGTTTTTGTACTCAGTGGAGTTTTTTCCCCCCTCTCTTTATTTTTATTCCCTCTTACATTTGTATCCTGTTATCTTGCAGAGTCCTGCTGACATTCCCTTTTCTTTTCTTTTTCATCCTGCCTCTTTTTTAATACTTAGCCAGATTCCCTATTTGGCTTGCATTCTTCTCTTTACCCTCATGGAAGATAAAAGTCTACTTAAAGTGAGCGAGTGCTAAACAGAATCTAAATTTTCAGCTTAAGTTTGCTTAAGTTGACACTCTTAAGTCAGTAACTCCCCATTTCCACCATATCTCCACTACTGAAAAGAAGAATAAATATACATGAATGAAATTGACTAATGGGAAGCCTGGTGTGGCACTATAGGATAAGCAGTGGATTGTTAACTGCAGGGTCAGCAGTTCAAACTCACTAGCCGCTCCTCGTTAACACTGTCTGTACAGCGTCATTATATTTTAGAACTGATCAGACAGCACTTAACAGCAACAACAGCAATGGGAAGCCAGATATGTTCTGTTCTCTTTGTGCCCTCACAGAGACCCATTCTTGTTAGTCCATGTTGTTGTTGTTGTTGTTAAGTGCCGTCGAGTCGGATCCGACCTATAGTGACCCTATACAGGGTTTCCGAGGAGCGACTGAGCTTGAACCACTGAACTTGTAGTTCAAACAGCTTTGCAGTCTGGCACATTAACCCACAGTGCCACACCAGGACTCCTCTTAGTCCATAGGGGCAGCCAAACACTGAGAGACCTCCAGCAATTAAAACTCACATGAAAATCAAATAACAGGCTAATGTATCATTTTATCTGAAACCCTTTGTGGTCAGGGCCTATTGGTAATTGTTGTTGTTAAGTGCCTTCAAGTCTATTCCAACCCATAGCGACCTTGTATAGGGTTTCTGAGGAGCAGCTGGTGAGCTTGAACCACTGACCTTGCGATTCAAATGTCTTTGCAGTCTGGCGCATTAACCCACAGCGCCACACCAGGAGTCCTATTTGTAATTAGATCTACATAAAAGTGAGAAAATTGCTTGTTGAATATGGTATCAGTATACAGCTTTTTAAGGAGCTCTGGTAGCGTAGTGGTTGCGAATCGGGCTGTGAACTGCAAGGTCAGCAGTTCGAAACTACCAGTTGTTCTGCAGGAGGAAGATGAGGCTTTCTGCTCCCGTAAAGATTTACAGCCTGGGAAACCCTGTACAGGGTCGCTGTGAGTCGAAACTAACCCCACGGCAAACAACAACAACATACAGCTTTTTAGATAATTTTAAGATCTTAAAGGAGGAATGGTCTGGCAAAAAGATTGGAGATACTGAAGTCCAGTGACTGGAATCTCATGCCAAAATCATGTCTGGCCCTCCAGTTGTCATGTTTGTTGTTTAGATCTGTTACAGAATCAATACAGTTCAGTTTTGCGTTGTGTTCAGATCTAGAGCTTTGGAGCCAAGAGTGACTTAGGTTTGAATCCTAGGCCCATCTCTAGTGTGACCATAGATGATTGTTTACATGTGTTTTAGTTTCCTTTTTTATAATATGGCGATAGTAACATTTATAGGATCATCATGAAAACTAAATGGCACATAATATATGTAAAACACATAGTAAAGTACCTGCAGAATTAGCTAAATCACAGTTGTATCTGTGTTGCAAATTAAAAAACATAGTTGTAAAAACAAACAAACAAACAAAAAACCATAGTTGTAAATCACAGATTTAGGTTATGCTGTAAATAATAGTTAATATTAAAACCATAACAGGTTAAATTAAATGTTTATTTCTATTAAAAGATAAAAAAATAATGACAATAAGCAACCACAGTTAATATGACAACTATCTTTTTAAGGACGTGCTGAAAAGTTGACATACACTGACTTCATTGGACAGACTCAGTCTTATGACTGCAAATATTTCTAGTTAAAAAGCTTGGTAAAACTAGCTTCCTCGGTCCTTCTTAAAGGGAAAAATCTAGGAAATGTAATCTATATTCCAGGTAGCTATGTACCCATCAAAATAATCAGGGGTTATATTAGTAAACAAGTAGTGGAGAATGGATGTCGGGTGGGCCATTAGCAGTTTCGTCCATTGTAGTACTTGCTATTGATATTATTTTTCATATTGATGGTTATTGATAGTAAGTTCTGGTGGCTTTAGTGTTTATTTTCAGATGATTTTTGAATAACTATGTTCTGATTCATTATGTATTAAAATTTTAGAACAGTAAGGTTTTTTTTTCCAGCTTTTATGTAACTTCTTATTTCTCTGTGTATACAGTTTGGAAGTATGTTTGTAGAATGATAACCAACCTCATGTCTGTATCAGTTAGGATGCATATACTGTAATCAGCAGAACATCTGACAAACAGAGGTTTAATCAAGTTGAGATTTTTTTTTTAATTCTTGCGTTAGACATCCAGATGCAGACAGTTCTGGACAAGTACAATAACTCAGTGAGATTGATTTGAGGGCCTTAAGTTCTTGAATATATCTGCTCTGTTTTCTGTAGCTTGCTATTTTTATTCTTGTGTTTGTTTCCTCATGGTATTTTGGTGACTCTAAGTATGAGGGGGCTTTAAATGGAATTAAAAGATAATGAAATTTTTCCATAAACTGAAGCCTCCTGATATTATTTTTTGCATTTTATGTAGTAGCAATGTTGAAGAACCAAGGACACAGCTTCTACTCCATTTGTTTGTAAAGTGATGCCCTCTCCATAGTCTGTTGCCAGATATCCTAGACCCAGAGAACTATGTAACATAGTCACTTCTAGCTGCAAGTTTAGAAAGTGAGTTTTCTAGGTGAGCAGATTGCTACCCTGAACAAAATTGGTTCTGTAATTGAGGAAGGCAAGATTTAATATGTGTAAAACACTAATACTGTCTGCTAAAGTGTTTCTTAAAATGTATTTTGATCTTTAAAAAGTGTCTTTAGCTTTATCAAATTCTCTTTGTGGTTGCAAACATACAGAACGTCAGTTAGGATTGTTTTTCATTTTTATTGTTTCTAATATTTTAGAAGAATGCTTTGCAAGCGATTTCTCCAGCCACCATGGAAGTCCTTATGCGAGTTTTGGCCGATTGTGATTCTTGGGAGGATGGAGGTCCAGAAGAAGTAGGTAGGAAGGTGGAACTAACTTTGAAATGCCTTACCGAAGTGGTGCATATCCTTCTGACTAGCAGCTCTGACCAGCGTCAAGTGGAAACCAGCACTATTTTGGAGAACTATTTTAAATTGCTAAATTCAGATCATTCAGCTTTACCTAATCAGAGGAGGTCCAGGCATTGGGAGAGTCGATTCATAGCTCTACAGATCAAGATGCTGAGTGAGTATTACATAAAGACAGTTTTCTGATTTAACTGTCATATTCTCTACTCCTTTTGGAACAGAAGGTAATTGTATAGAAAGTATTAATGGTTTGATTTAGATGTAATTTAGATACTTTGGCTTCAAAATAATAGCATAGATTTGATTTCTTAATCTTTGCTGTAACAATGACAAAGTTGTGCCTCTATAGTCTTCATTTTTTATTGTAGTAAAAATACATATTAACAAAACATTTGTCAATTTTATATTTCTTTTTGAAACCACTAAAAGCATCATTGTTAAGAACAAAGTCAGCTATGATTTTGAAACTCCAAGAAAAGTAAAGTTTCAGAAAGTACTGCTTATATTATTTTATCCTATGACAAAAAGACACGTATAGTTTTGTTTGTGCTTGTATGACTCTCAGAGCCCTGGTGTGGTGCTGTAGGATAAGCACTGGACTGCTAACCACAAGGTTGGCAGTTCAAATCTAACAGCTGCTCATTGAAAACCCTATATAGTGTCTCTTTGAGTATGGACCCACTCCTAGGCACCTAACAACAAATATAACTTATCAGTAGAGATCACTACAACATTTATCCCACCTTTAAATGGCCTTTTATTTCTGTATATATGTATGTATGTATATATATTTTTTAATTCTCTCTGTACATCTTTTGTTTATTCCTCTGTATCTCTCTTTGTATTGTTTGTTTTGTATTACTCTTCTCTTATATGTCTCTGTCTTTGTTATGTAAACTCTCACCAGTATATCTAATATTTATTGTATTCACCCAGTGGATTGATAGATGCTGATATTATTAATTGGTAATTCCTTATTTTACAAGTAAAACATCAAAACAAAACCAAAGCCATTGCTTTTGATTCTAACACATAACAACTCAGTAAGGATAGAGTAGTACTGCCCCATAGGCCCAAGAATGTAAATCTTCATGGAAGCAGACTGCCTCATCTTTCTCTAGTGGAGTGGCTGGTAGGTTCCCACCATCCTTCAGTTAGCTGCCAGGTGCTTTAATAGCTGCACCACCCGGACTCCTTAAAATATGTTCATTACAACTAGATTGGGGAACACTTAACTTCTAACTACAAGATTGGCAGTTTGAGCCTTTCACCTGCTCCTTAGGAGAAAAATGAGACTTTCTGCTCCTCTAAAAATGTATAGCTCTAGTAGAGTAGTGGTTACGAATCGGGCTGCTAACCTTAAGGTCGGCAGTTCAAAACTACCAACAGTTCAGTGGGACACAGATGAGGCATTCTGCTCCCGTAAAGATTTACAGCCTCAGAAACCCTGTGAAGGGTCATTATGAGTTGGAACCGACTCCACAGTACTTAGTTAACAACAACAACAACAAAAAAGATGTATAGGTAGCATAGTGGTTACAAGTCAGGCTGTGAACCTCAAGGTCAGCAGTTCAAAACTACCAGTGCTTCTGCGGGAGAAAGATGAGGCATTCTGTTTCCGTAAAGATTTACAGCCTTGGAAACCCTGTGCAGGGTCACTATGAGTCGGAACCGACTACACAGTACTTAACAACAACAAAAGATGTATAGGCGTAGAAACCCTATATAAGTGACTAGATGCCACTTAACTAAACAGCTAAATTAGGAAATTCAAGTAAGGAAAAAGAAACTAAATACACTTTCTATTCTACCATTATCTATAAAGAGCATTGGTAATGTAGTGAGTTATGAACTGGGCTGCTAACTGCAAGGTCAGTAGTTCGAATCTACCAGTTACTCCATAGGCGAAAGATGAGGCTTTCTGCTCCCATAAAGATTTACAGCCTCAGAAACCCTACACAGGGTTGCTGTGAATCAGAACCTACTCCACAAGCACACACTCATCAGCACCACATCTATCTATAACCTATCTTGATGGCTATATATCTATAACTTCTAGAGACGTTAAAAATTGTTTTTATATGATTGTGTATGTGGTGTCTAATTTGCTAATATTGGACATCAGAATCTTGGTTGGAAACTTAATGATCCATTATAACGTTTCTGTAGGGAAATAAGACTTATTTAGTTTCTATTATTTTGTGTATTGTATAACATCTTATCATCTTTTTATTACAGCTTGTAAGTTATAATAAGTTTGAGTCTATATTGAATAAACTTTTTAAATTAGTAACTGTGGTAGTCTATTACCCAATTGAGATATCCCTTGATCTCTGGATGGATATATCTTTTCAGTCAGAGAAATGAGGAAAACATGAAACAAATTGGATTAATTACATAAGCACCATTTTCATAATGACCATATTTTCATTTAATAATACGTAAATGAGGCTATTGCCAAATGTACTCAGATATTGCTGATTACTAGCAAGTTGGTTTTAAGTGGAGACTTACAATGGAAGAACAACTGTATAAATCTCTAGGAAATATCTACCACTCATATGTAAAAAGTTCAATACAATAAGTAATTAAAGCATAAAAATGTTCATTTTCCCCATCAAGTAAAAGTACAGATTTTATTTTCTATTATTTATAACTAATTTATATCTGTTTTGTCAGCTGAAAAGCCTAAATTAAAAATATGAGATTAAATGTTTGAATAATCCCAAATCTTCCACTTTGTACATGGATAATTTTGTTTTTGTTTTCCTAGATACTGTCACAGCCATGTTAGATTGCACAGATAGGCCTGTTCTTCAGGCCATTTTTCTTAACAGTAATTGCTTTGAACATCTCATACGACTACTACAGAACTGCAAGGTAGTTTTTCTATTGTCTTTGATATTAAGAACCTACTGTTTATATTTTTATTTGAATTTTAACATTAATTAGTAACTGTATAATTTGTATTTTAATTATATAACCAGTTTCATCTTGAAGTAAAACTAGTATATGTTGTATTTATAATTGCCTAAATTTTTTTAACGTGTTTATTGTGAATTGAGTGATAGTTTACATGAGAGAACATCAGTTTTACACTCATCCTATGGTATTTTGTTTCATTGCAATGATTACAATCCCGTCCATGCATCATCATTCAGCAGTATTTCCCTCTGTGTTTTTTTTTTCCTGTTGGATGTACAGAAAACCAGTCAGGAATATATAATCATTTAAACAACCAAATAATAGCCTAATATTTTAAGAGTAGTCCGACTGGAAACAAATTGCTTTTTATCATGAGCATTTCAGTTCATGATACTCTTTATTTTTTAGGTTAGTTTTATACTTGGTAAATATTATCCTTGAGACTCTTGAAAGTCATTAGTTACTTCAGATCTCTTGGCTAACTATTTGTGTCAGATAAGATCATTAAAATTTTGCTTTCCTCACTTAACCAAAGGCTTTTTAACAGATTGTAATTAAAAATAGTGTGTAGCCATTGTAGAAATTGATGAGATGTTATAAGTTTTGTTATATGTATGTCACTATAATTTTTTTAACATACAACTGAAATTCTACAAGTATATAGATTTTTGATGTATGTTCATTGTAAAAGCTTTGAAATTTTGAGGTAGCAATAAGAAAGTATAAATATTCCCTATAATTCTGTCAGCGAATAGAATGGAGGTTCAGCAGAAAGGAAGGCCCCTAATGGATGCACACAGTGGCAGCAACAGTGGACTCAAGTGTAACAATTGTGAGGATGGCACAGGACCAGACAGTGTTCTGTTCCGTTGTGTGTAGCGTCACTTTGAGTCGGAACCAACTGGATAGCACCTAACAACAACACTTCTATCAATATTGTTGAATGAAAGTTACAGTGTATTTAACTGTTTATTATGTGCTGGACGTTGCATTGGGTACTTCACATTTGAGCGTACACAGCATATATTGTGCTCATAGTGACCACATTATAAGTCAGACAATTCTTGTGCCAGACCCAAGGTTTGAGTTCTGTCAGTCTCAGTCAAGACTTTATTTTTTTTAGATTTTTAATTCTTACTTTTTAAAATCTACTCATTGTTGTCAATAGTTAACTACCAAGTTAAGCCATTTAAACACCAAATATATTAATATCAGTTCAAGACTTTTGATCTTAATTTTTCAATATGTAATGGCCAAAATGATAATTTTGTATTTGTTTTCAGTCTTTATTCTAAACAAGTGAAAATTTTACATGATTCAGATCAAAGTTAATATATAATAGGTGGCCATGGGCTGCCAAAAGAATAAACAGGTCTGTGTTGGAAGAAGTGCAGCCAGAGTGCTCCTTGGAGCCCAGGATGGCCAAATTTTGTCGCTCATACTTTCGATATAGTCAGGAAGGAGCAGTTGCTGGAGAAGGATATCATGTTTGGTAGGGTGGAGGGTCAGAGAGAAAGAGGAAGACCCCCAACGAGATTGGCCAAGTGGCAGCATCGATGGACTCAAGCGTGGCAACAATTGTGAGGTTGGCTCAGGATTGTGCAGTGTTTCGTTCTGCTGTGCATAAGGTCGCTATGAGTTGGTACTGACTCAATGGCACTTAACAAAAACAACAAACCCTGTTAAGATCAATGAACATTTTTATCATTATTAAAATAATGCTCATTAAAAAATGCAAATTGTGAGAGCATATGAATTCTTCAATATAATAATGAAATGCTAGTTAAATTTTTTTTCTCTTTTACCTGATGTACTACTGGTAGTGATTCCTATAATTCCTAGTATAAAAAGCATATCTCTTTTAATGAAAATATAAGATGCATCATCAAGCTGAATAGTATCAATATAATACATTAATAAATGCATTTTGTTGTTGTTGTTATGTGCCGTGGAGTCGGTTCCAACTGATAGCAACCCTGTATAGGGTTTCCGAGGCTATAAATCTTTACGAGAACAGAAAGCCTCAGCTTTCTCCCATGTAACAGCTGGTAGTTTTGAACTACTGACCGTGAGTTTAGCAGCCAGATTCGTAACCACTACACTACCAGAGCTCCTTAAACATTTTAGGTAGCTATAAATTGTATTATAGAGTCCTGGTGTTGCACTGTATGATAAGCACTGGGCTATTAACTGTAAGGTTGGTGGTTCAAACCCACCAACTGCTCCTTGGAAACCCTATACAGGGTTGCTATGAGTAAGAGCTGATTCACTGGCACTTGTTGTTGTTAGTGCCATCAAGTTGATTCCAACCCTTAGCGACCCTGCATAGAGTTTCCAAGGAGCATCTGGTGAGCTTGAACCACCAATTTTGCAGTTCAAACAGCTTTGCTGTCTGATTCATTAACTCACAGCACCACACCAGGACTCCTCAATGGCACTTAGCAACAATAAAATCATGTTAACACTAATGAATTAAAAAGTTTCTGAAGCAACTTACTGGATTGCTGGTGTGATAAGTACTGGACTGCTAACCACAAGTTTGATGGCTGAAACCCACTAGCTGCTCCTCGGAAACCCTATATAGGGTCACTATTAGTCAGATCTGACTTGACTGCACTTAACAACAAGCAACCAACTACTCAGTGGCTTCTCTATTATCAATGTTTTACCCTTTTGGCAGTTGTTCAGAAGCTATAAAATTTTTATAGACTTGTAATAATATTATTGATAATGTTTGCAAGTAATTTTTGCTAAAGGTAAAATTGAAATTTTTAGCAAAACATGAATCTAATGCAAGACATGAGGTATAAGAACATGCATCAAATAGATGCTATGGAATATAAAAATATAAAGAGAAAATTAGATTTCATGTTTTTATAAGTTGATTGAACTGTGTACTGAGTTTCGTTTTAGGAAAAAAGCTCACATAAGCAAGGAAAGCATTAGGTTAACATAGTGTAAAGGAAGAGAAAAATGTAATTCAAACCCCATTTAAAAAAGATTTTGAATCTCTTAGCCTCCTAGTCTTTTTTTTCCCTTTTTACTTAGCATATAAACCTTTCCTTTGTGTATTTTTCATAATGTTCATGGATAATTTTATTTTCTATACATTTTATATACTATGTTTTGAAACTGATAATGTTAACTTTTGCTTTGGTAGCTTTGATTTTAAAATTTATTTACTGCCTTGCTGTTATGGTAACTAGTATCTAAGAGCTTAGAACTTGTCAGAAATCTCTAGATTTAGACAAAGAAGGAAAAACAAGGCAATTAAAAATACCCAGCCACTCCAGACACAGCCTCTCACTCTGATCAACTAACTAACTGCCTTTAGGATGTTTGTTCCAAAATGTTTCATCTCAAGGTTACTTGAGTTTTTCCCCCTCTTTGTTTTCTCATATTGGCACACATTCTTCCAATTAGAAATTCATTTGGGTACTCAAGAAGACCAAATCCCAAACCCACTGCCATCAAGTTGATTCTGAATCACAGCGACCCTTAGGGCTCCCTTTTAAGATGTAAGGGTCTGTCAGACAACTGGTGTGCCCTAGGTGGAAGATTGTTTTCTTCCTAATAGTTAGGTATGATAAGCTGCACTGTAGCTATTAGAATAACATAATCCATGTAGTTAGTTGTAGGGTCTAGAGTGCATTTTGGGGTAGGGTGGACTTGGAGGGTATCTTATTTATTTCAATATCTGGTTTCTGCCTCTGCAACTCCATTGAAACTTATTAATCAAGGCCACTTAAAACCTTCTGGTTTCCAAATCTAATGGACACTGTGAAATTTTTATTTTAACTGTTATTTTCTGTTTGTCACTATTGATCATTCTCTTTTTGAAACTAAAAAAAATTGTTTCAACACACTCATCTGCTTTCCTGCTACCACTGTGGACACTCTTTAGTCTCTTTGGAATATTCCTCTTTATTAAAAACCTTTCTTAAATGCTGACATTTAAGTGTTTGGCCTTGAACTTTTAATATTTTCTTCTTCTTTTGTTTCTTTCTTAATTTGCTTATTCTTTGGACAGTCTCAACTCAGCGATATGCATGGCTTCAAATACTGTTTATAAGTTACACCCCCCCAAATTTCTTGTTTCCAGAACAAATCTCTTGAGAAGTTATACTTAATGTCCCTCAAAAATCTTACATTTTTCACATTTGAAATGGAACAGACCACCTCGTACTCTTCCTCTTTTCTTCTCTTGTCTCCCCTTCGTAGTTGTGTCTCTTTTGTTTTCAGTGTACATCAGAGATGCCCGTATCTACCCAGTGTCTCTGGAGAAGCTTGGATATCAATCAATCTGTTTTTTTATCTTCTAAATCTTCTTTGTTTCGCTAAATTCTGATAATCAAATATTTCTCTACAGCCTTTCCCCTCCAATGTCACTGCCTAATTTCTTGCCTGATTACTGCAATAATTTCCTTCCATACTGAAACCCAAACCGTCCTTTAATATATCAGTGTCATATCAAAAATGTGCCCAAAATACCCTTTCCAAAACCAGTTAGCTGTTCTAGGAATTTCTAAAATTCGTACCATGACATGTACAAGGCTCTAAAGAATTTGGCTCAGGCCTACCTGTTTAGTTTTTAGCCTTTCTTTCGTAAAGTTTTTTCTGTTGTGTGCTGTTGAGTCAGCAACCCAATATCACAAAGTAAAACTGCCCTGTAGAGTTTCCTAGGCTGTAATCTTTATGGGAACAGTTCATCAGATCTTTTCTCATGTGGTGGATTCTAACTGCTAGCCTTTAGGATAGTCACTGCATGCTTCAGTGTTGTACTACCAACAGCCTTATCTTGAAGTAGTCATTCTTATTCTTGCTTCTTTTGTTTCCTTAGTGCTGTTGTTGCAGTTTGAAATACTTCCCTCCCTGCTCTGGGAGCATTTTATTTAATGACTGTAATGTTGTCTGATTCTTGTAGATAACATGTGTTTGACCCTAAAGGAATCTTT